TTTTTTTTTTTTTTTCCCCCGGAAAGGAAGGGGGGGGCCCCAGGAGCCACCAAAAAATTTTTTGGCAAAAAAAGGAAGGGACATGGGGGTTAAAGGGGGCCCCCGGGAAAAAGGGGAACAGTGGGGGGGGGGGGGGGGGAGGGGGCCTCAGCGCCTGCTCGACATTTCCTTCTTCGGGACCGTTTACCCACTAGATTATCGTCGCGCTACATATCTACATGCCACTGCATTCCTTAAACCACATACAACCACTCCCAACGATTCGATTGAGCGCGCAGCTACGTTGGCATGTAAATGTGGGAGAAGGCCGGGCGTAGGGGTCACATGCTTCGCGCGCGGCATCTGGCACGGCCGGTAGCATGCGGCGAACGCTACATGAGAAGCCGCGAATTTTTGCTACAACAACCCGAAGGTGAATAAGAAGGGTGGTAGTCACGGGGAGGGTTCATGGCTTTCTGTCGTCCATGCAATACCCGCTTTCATTTCGCTCAAGGCAACATGAAAGGGGAAAAGGGGGGAAGGAGTCGAAACGGACACACGTCATGTTCGTCATCCTCTTTCTTTTCGCTCAAAAGGCTGTGCAGATGAAGGCAGTGCGGCCAAACACGTGACATTTACCAAAAACAAAATTGGACACAAAGCCGTACAAAACTATCTCGAACCAGCACTCGTCGTCCTCCTCATATGCTCCACGTTCTCACCCCTTGCTGCATCTGCTGTTGCTGCTGCTGGTCCCCGCCCGAAGGCCGGCGATCATTCACGGAGCCCCTCGGCCCCGGCAGCTCGGCGTCTCCCCCCGGAACAGACCAGCTGACACGGTAGAGGTCGATGCCGTTCCTCTCTCTCCCGCTGGAGTAGGCGAAGTAGTTGGAGTAGACGGGAGACCACTGCACCAGCGACGGCCCCCTCCCCCCCGGCGATGACCCCACGCCGGCCCTGCCGCCGCCGCCGCCTCCGCTGCCGGCGGCGGCGGCCCTCTCCACTGCCCCTAATACCGCCTGCTGCTGGGCCATCATTTGGCCTCACTCCGTCTTTTTCTCTCCTCTCTCTCTTGTTTCTCCGCCGAAGGTTGGTTGTGGTCTGTTTCTTGGCTGTGGGAATTTTGCTTCGTAGACAAAAACGCAGCAAGGAACGACACATTGTGCACTAATCAGGGTACACACGCACAAAGCGTCATCAGAGCGTGTTTAGGCGTATTCATGAAGAATCGGCACCGGGGAGGCGGGCAGACGGGATAAAGCACTCTCCCCGGGGGGGCTCACTGAATACCGCCACTTCTGAGCTGGGCTTATTACAGAAAAAGTGTGGCCATGTGATGCGCACCGCTACATCGCTACCTTGATTGCTGCCTTCGTATCGTCCTATGGATGCATATGTACCGATTAGATTGCCCGTCCAGCACTGGATCTCGGGGATTCTACACAGACACACCTCACGAGTTTTTTCGCAGCAGTCTTCGAAACCCATGGACTACCGTACTGGAGATTGTCATACAAGTATGTAGACAAGTCTACGTCGTCGATGCACATGCCTTACCATTTTAATGTTTGCACACCTCCAAATGACTCTCACGCTCGGATATCTACCCCTGCAAGTAGTACTTGTAGTCTGCTTGTCGATTAAACCGGGGAACTAGTAAATATTCACATCCTGCAAAGATTTACCGCCGGTGGATTTATGTTGTAGGGGGGGGAGTCTTCGGAGCGAAGCACGACATACAGCAGTATTCACCACCACGGGGTCGGTGTGTAGCATCTGGGACAATTAACAATGGTATGGCATGGTTTAGGACAATGTGATGCCCAATGCAGTGGCATGGTTTACCCCTACAGCCGCCGTTACGACGACCTCTTGGCCACTCCTGTGCTCCTGCTGGTAGATATGGTAGCAGTTAGAAGCGGGGTGTTGCACATGATTAGTCCGTTCCTTCTTGCGAGTTGTTCGTAACACTTTCTGTTGTACATGCAGTAGTTCCTTCCGAGATGAACAGGGTTGTGAACACTGAAGTTTGACTACAATCGTCGTCGTTCCCTCAATGCCACCAACGGTGAGATGGGCGGGCGGTTGGCACACTCGATCCTGACAGGTGCTCGTTACACGCTGCTGCTGGCAACCACACTGCAATACTTGTAGCATGCAGCGCATTGACGGCTCGGCATACTTCAGCGTTTTCTGGATGCAGCAAATTCACCTTCCTTTTGGTCCTTGCACACCATGCAGATCGGTTGCTCTGCTGAACTCGCTGCGTCTTTCTCCCTCTCTCGCCTCCCCCCACGAGCAGCAGCAAGAGCAGGGAACAATCGAGACGCACTCACTTCCTCGGCTAACGAACTGCCACGCGAGCACACACACACACTGAAAGCAAGAGAAAGCCGATAGGGGCTCCGCGATATCTACACCCGCCCCCTCCCACCTCTCTCTCCCTGTGTGTGCGCTGGTCGATCCACTGTGCCTGATCTTCACACCATCTGCTGTCTTTTCTCTTGCCCCTCCGCCGCCACCTCTCTCTCTCCCTCTCCTCCTCTCAGCAATGAAGCTCACCTCTCTGTTGACGCTGGCGGGCTTGGGCGCAGGGTCGGCCTTCGTGGCTCCCGCCACTGCCTTCCACGGCGCGGGCGTGACCACCACGGCTCCTCGAGGCAGCTCCTCTGCTTCATTCCAGATGATGGCACGGGTGCCCTTCATCGCAGGCAACTGGAAGATGAACCCTCTGGACGTGGACAGCGCGAAGGACCTCGCCAAGTCGGTGAGAGCTGTCGCTACAAGATTTTGCTCGCCCCCCCCCCCCCCCCTCTGGTGCTGCGCCCCCCCCCCCTGTTTGTGCCTGGTTTTTGTGTTTGCCTGGGAAAAGAAGG